ACTTTTCTCATCACTACGAGACAACTTTTCTCATAAACTTTACCCAATAATTCTACCAAACTAGATTGCAAAAACAGTTTTTCAAAAAACTTTACCAAACAAATATATATTAAACTCTACATAATAACTGTGCAAAACTATCTATATTATACTCTACTAAATAACTTTTTCAAAGAACTTTAGCAAAGAGTGCATCTTTAAATAACTTTGCAAGAGATTTATGTACATAAACGTTCTAAAATATATGACACTTTGCCAAATACTTACTTCTCTTAAGAGTTGACAAATCGTTTTTTTTTAATGGAGTTTGGTTTGATAAACACTTATATATACGTAACTAACAACATAGTTCACATAGGTTTAGGGAATTAATTTAGAGTTATATTATTAAAAATTATTCTAGATTAGTTTGGCATATTTTTCAGATTTTATCTTCAAATTTTATCATAATCAATAAAAAAATAAAAATTCAAAAAAATCTGTAACTAACGTGGGTTTATATAGAATTATAAATGTGGTTTTAATTTGTTTTTATGTTAAATCATATAATTAGATAAATATAAGGATACTTTTGTCTTTTGTTAGTCTACATCTTAAATTCTAAAAGATATGGCCTAGATTAATAATTTTGGTTTGTTTTTGGATTTTTTTCATAATTTTCCCTTTTAAAATTTTGGTTTTTGGTTTTTTGTTATAAATATAAAAATTAATTTAAAAAAATCAAAAAAATCAAAAAAAGAAACATGATTACGTTGAAAACTAAAATTTTCCCCAAAATCCTCAAAATTGTGGTTTTTAGTTTCTCTTTGAAATTTGGAGAAACCACTCAAAAACTGGTTTTCCTAAATTTTAGGGAATCTAATTTTTTAAAATCTTGAATGGTGAAAAAATAGATTTTTCCATAAACAAAAACCAAAAACCACTTAAAAACTAGTAACCATTCAAGGCCTTGTCTCGCCTTCACGTGTTTTATATATTTTTTTATATTATTTTCAAAATTATTTCTCTCTGTTTTCTCTCCGAATTTTGCAGTCCTACAGCCATAAGCTCGCTCGTAAAACTATAGATGACTTACATGGCCTAAATATTGATCATGGACCATGCAACTTGCCTATGTGACCCTTCTATTTCATGATCGTCTAACTATCCACGAGTGCTTCTCCTGCGGGGTAGCACATCCACATTAAAAAGACCATCTGCATTGGGGGATCACCCCCCCTGATCTAAGCATTATTTAAATCCAAAAAAATGGGTTAGTGGGCTTAAGATCAGGAACTGGGCTCTTGACCTGGATCTGTTCTTATGGGTGTTGCGGGGTGACGTGGCATTTGGGCATTGGTTGGAATATTCAACATATTTGGAATAAATTTGGATAATAAACTATGTATTAATTAGATAAAATGTTTTTGTGCTTTTATTAAGTAATATGTTTGTTTGTTTATTGTTATTTATATTTTTAATGTTTTTTTCATAAATATTTAGTATTGTATTTTCACTTTTATTTTCAGTTTTTCATAAATTTGGCATTTGCAATTTATATGTTATTTTAAAATGTTTTAATAATTGTAAAATCTTAATTTAATTTAGATTATTATATTATTAAGTCTTAAGATCTTACACATGTTCTCCCACTAATCAACTTTTAAACAAAAGATCTAAACACATGATCTTACATTATTTTAACATTATATTCTCTATAAGAACACCCTCACATGATCCCCCATTGATGATGCCCTTATATGCTTAATTAAAGACCTTATATGCTTAATTAAAGACGTGACATGTAACGTTACCCGTCGTCGAGCTATTCAAACTTTTGTAGAATATATTCATATACCCTTTATTAGCCGAAGGGACCAATAGTTAAGTCTTCAGATGGTGTTATAGCGCTAAAATATTCAATAATCTAGTGTACATCCAAATATTTAGAAAGATATTTAAACCAAATAATATTTTTTTATTATCATTGCTAACAAATAACAATATAGTAAGATGTTTGGACTCTTATTATTAGAACCCTCCTAACATGCATGTGAGTTTGAAAGAAAATATTACAAGTCCAATTTCTTGTATTATGAAAAATTGAATAGCTAACAAATGTTTTTTTTACAGAAAACGTAGTATATATTGAAATTTTGAAGATTTGTTACGCTACCAATCTTGTAACGTCCCTATAAATTAAACGTCTCTCACATTCATAACCCAAGATGGATATTTCATCTTTGCAGCAGTAAATCCTCCAAGATATACATTTGTGTCCATTATGTTCAAGAATCTTCCCCGTGAAAGCTTCCGTGTTATCAGTTTGCATTTATCCAAATGTAGCATGTTAAATAAATGGCAATGCTGATTAAGCTTTTTAAAATATTTGTAAAAGGCAAAACGAAAAAAAAAAACTTTTGTTTTGCTTCTATCAGATTTGGATTTGAACAGAACATTCCACATTAGATATGGATATGCCACAAATAAATCGAGCTTTTGAAACTATTCTAAAAATATTAGTATTCCCTCTATTTTATTTTAAGAAATGTTTAAGGTTTTTGCACATAGATTAAGAAAACACAAAAATATCAATTAATATACTTCTTTTATATAAAAATATTATTAACTACAACTAATTTAGCCAATAAAAAATAATGTAAAATATAATTGGTAAAAAATAAAAAATACATATAATTTTTACATAGAAATTTGGAAACATCACTTAAAACGAACAAAAAAAATCTCTAAAACATCACTTAAAAGTGATACAGAGGGAGTATTTTTACATTTTGTATTTCAATTCTATTTTATACTATTAAGGTTTTTTTTAATCATTGTTTTACTTTACTTTTTGTTGTTTTTGTTAAAAGTTATCATTGTTTTACTCGTAAGTTGAAAGATATGATAGCGTCGAGTGGAGACATGCAGTAAACTTAACGGCGGGAAAGCAAAAAATAATCATACAAATTTGGCGACAAAACAAGATTGAAATAATAAATTTTAACCTTTTTATCAAAAAAAAAGAAAAAATAAACTGTTAAAAAAAATGGAAAGAGGATCTTCATTATTGAATATGCTCACAAATTAGGAAACATAAATAAGATTGTAAAGATAACAACAACAAAAAAAGAGAGAAATAAAAGATTCACAATTTATATCCTACGCATGCCATACACAACACCATATATAAGAAAGAAAGTGTTTTAAAAGAGAGCAAAACTCAGAAGAAACAACAAAACCTGAAATCATTAATTTTCTTCTTTTTTCACATTTTTCTCTCAGACCTTTTTTGGGGTTTCACATTTGTAAGTAAAACCTCTAATAAGAAACATTTTTCACATCTCCAGATCCGATCTTGAGCTTTTGTACCAGCAAAAAACAGGTTCTCTTCTATCTTTGCTTCTACCTTTCTTGATCTATCATCAGATTTAGTAACATGCATGTTAGTACTTGTTAATAAAAACTATACATAAGATTTTGATTTTTAAAGTGATTAATATGAATCTTGCGATCCCCATATGTTTCTTGGGAAAATGAAATGAGGATTCGAGAGTTTTCTGGGAATCCAAACACTAAATTTCTTCTGCAAAATCCAAAAATTTAATTAATTTTCTAAAGATTTGAGGCAGAGAGGGACCAGTCAATAATCACTTTTCCTTTCTTTTTTTCACTGTCTTTGCTTTCTGCTAATTATCTAACTTTTCCAACAGATTAGACGTAACTTTAACATAATTAAAACCTTAATTTATGGGTGATTAAGATAGAGACATACTCCCTCCGTTCTTTTATAAGTGATGTTTTAGGAGAATGCACAATAGATTAAAAAATCATTTAATTTATTTATTTCAAAACTAAAAAATCATTTATTATCTAATCAACCAATAAAAAAACAATCTACAGAATATATATAAATCGTCAAAACTAATAAAATAGTAATTAATTTTGTATTGATATTTGAAAACATCATCTATTTTAGAACAAAATTAGAAACTTAAAACATCACTTATAAAAAATCGGAGGGAGTATGTAGTTTTTAGTACAACCTATGCCATACTTCCAGGTACATGATTCTTCTCTATGCTTCATTTATAAGTTTTCTTTCCTTCTCGGTTTTTCCTTACATAACAAAATTCAATTATGTCAAACGTTTACCCATTTTTTTAAAAATTTATTATATTGATTGGAACAACAACTCGAGGGCATGCTTGTTATGATGAGCTTAGGATTAGAATAATTGCCACTATAAATTTGTATTTTATTTTTCTTATAAATTTAATATTTCTTCTAATTAGAATAATATGATTTTAGGGGTTTTCAGTTTTCTTTAAAAAAAATAGTTGTTTTGTTTTGATTCTATTAGAGGCTAAAGAATAACTTTGGAATTAACTAACTTCTGCTTCATCATCATCAATATGTAATAGAATTTTGACTTTCTTTTTTTACGTCTAAGAAATTTGCGGGTCTAGACTCATAATCTCCTTAAACCGAGGATTAGAGCACGTTAAATTAGTTTTTTTTTCACCGGTTTTTAAACTCTTGTTAATCTTGAAGAATTTACCTTTTTAATAACACCGATTAGCATTGGCCACCAGGATTCGAGTAGCATTAGCTATTAGGAATTCTAACATTGTTTTCCCAGACCCCAGAATGTCTTTGGACCTAGAAATTTTTTAGGATCACCTTAGTTTTATATAAAAAAATATAATACCGATTGAGATATGTCGAATTTGATATCATTATTTTACATTGATCATATAATATAGATTTTTCGTATCAAATTTCGGCGGATCCTTTGCTTTTTTTGGTTGTATCATTTCCTAATTAAATTGTTTGAGAAGTAACCACTAACCACGGGTCTCAATAAAGTGGACTTGTGAAGCTCCAAAAATCAAGTTTGCTTTTCTCAATTTCTGGTAGAAAAAGGAAATAAAAAGCAAAAAGGGTATATGATGTGGCTGCAAGCATTAACAATTTGCTCACTTGTATAAAGATTCGTTAGCCCAATAGCGTCCGTACACGTTTCATTTAGAGTGCAATTTGTATACACATTCATCCCCTAAAATAATCTCTTAAGGATTTGTTTCCTTTTTATCTCTTCTTTAAGCTTTCGTTTCTCTCTCAAATATAAAGTTTCTTGGCCATTTTTTAGTTTTATTATTCATATCTCAATTCAAAAAGATTCTTCCTTTTTGTTTTCCCTCAGATATTTCGTAATTAGTTACTTCTAAATCTTGATTTTTGAGAGTTCAATAATTTTAGGTTTGATACTTTTGACTTATTTGGGTGATTATTGTTATAAAAGCATTAAGCATGCCTTAAAAATGTTTTTGTTAGGCAAACTTGCACTCCACGTATTCTTTGTTATGTTCTACTTAACATAAAACACATAACAAATATGTTTTCTATTGAGAAACGAATTAAGTGTGATTTGAGAGAAATAAAAACACATGTTTCTCATTTTAAACTTGATTTCTCTTATCTCATTTTTGCAAGTGCTATAATTTTCTTGGTTTCTTGTTTTAGGTTCTTTGTTCTGAACGAAGACAAGTAAAGGCTTCTGGAGTGTCTTTCTTGTGTTTAGTCCGGTCTTATACATAACCAACCACTCCCAAGGAGCGGGAGGTTTGGGATTGATGATATCATTTGCCAAGGATCTATGATTTTCCAATGTCATGAAGAAGAGAGAGTTTGCTAAGTTTAAAGACTTATGGAGACCGGTACAAGCATTGACAAGAATGGCTATGAAGGAATCAAGAACGGTTCGTGGTTTAGCCAGTTTCGTAATGGCTACAATCCATGGATGGCTAGATATGTATACGGTCTGATATTCCTCTTGGCAAATCTGTTGGCTTGGGCCTTGCGCGATTATGGCCGAGGTGCCTTGACCGAAATGAGAAGTATGGTTACCTAAGTCTCTAGCTAGCAACATGAACTTTTACAATAATTTTTTCAGATGAATGATTGGTTCTAAGTTTATTCATTATTGCAGAATTCAAGAATTGTAAAGAAGGTGGAGAGTGTTTGGGGACGGAAGGAGTTTTACGAGTTAGCTTGGGATGTTTTGTATCCTTCTTTTTTCAGTCAGTTATATAAACTCTTTTCATGGGCTTGATAAACATTTGTTTTGCCTTAACTATTTCCCTAGTTGTTCTATTTTATTATGTTTCTTTCAACCGTTGGCACATCAAAGACGCAGTCGTCCAGAGATAAATGGCATTCAGGATGGTGGTTTGCTAAGCTTTTCATGTGGCTTGGCTTAACCATCTTCCCTTTCTTGTTGCCTTCATCCATTATTCAGCTTTACGGTATAAGGCTAATCGCGCGTCCTTGATAAAAGTTTTTCGCTATTAAAATTCTGACAAGTAATTAAAATTACTTTTTCTTTGCTTTCTTGGCAGGGGAGATTGCCCATTTTGGTGCGGGGTACGGTTTTTCTAATCCTACTACAGGAACTGTGTAATGGTTTTAGCTTACATTAAGCTCCATTTCTTCTCTGTTTTTTTTTTATAGGGTCTTTCTTCTTATTCAGCTCATTAGTATCATTAGTTTCATTACATGGCTCAATGAATGTTTCCAAGCTCAAAAAGATGCAGAAAGATGGTGAGCCACCATGAGAATGTGCTTTAAGTAGTTGGGAAACATATAAAATGATTTGTATTTTCTAATGAAGCTTTGTATGTTGCAGCCATGTCCATGTGATGCTACTAGCGACTACTGCGTACACCGTGTGCATATTAGGGGTTATTTTGATGTACATTTGGTATGTGCCTGATCCATCATGCCTTCTTAACATATTTTTCATCACATGGACTTTGTTCCTCATCCAACTCATGACAAGTATCTCTCTCCACCCCAAAGTGAGTCAAAGTTTCGATGCGCAGTCGAATAGTATTCTTCCCTCACATGTGAATAGGGATTTTGAAAACTTCTCTTCTGGGTGCATTTCAACAGATAAATGCTGGATTCTTGACTCCAGCACTTATGGGGCTTTATGTTGTGTTTATCTGCTGGTGTGCCATTCGAAGGCAAGTTTCATCTGAATATCGAGCAACTCGAGAGTAGTAGCTAGTCTCTATTTATATGTTCAAGAAGTAATAGTTTCCAACTCCATACAACATTTTGTTTTGCAGTGAGCCAGTAGGAGAAACTTGCAATAGAAAAGCCGAAGGTTCTAGTAGAACAGACTGGCTTACCATCATAGTAAAATCTCAAACCTTTCCATGACCTTAAGGATTTTTTGGGATTGTAAAGAAAGTACTAAACGGATTTTCTATGTATATGTATGGTGCAGAGCTTTGTTGTTGCACTGCTTGCAATGGTAATCGCGACATTCTCCACGGGAGTAGATTCACAATGTTTCCAGGTTTGTTATCTATGAGCCCTGCCAATTTTGCTGCAAAACTCCAAAAGAGAAACTTGACTAATAGCGAGTGGCCTTTTACAGTTTAGAAAAGATGAGAATCATGAGGAAGATGCAATTCCTTACGGATACGGATTCTTCCATTTTGTGTTTGCTACCGGAGCAATGTACTTTGCAATGCTACTTGTTGGCTGGAACATACACCATTCCATGAAAAAGTAAGTTCTTGATGAACAAGTAAGCTTTGTAAATCTTTGTGGTTCCATCCATAATTTGAAGCTCGGGTTTTGTGTTTAGGTGGACCATTGACGTTGGGTGGACAAGTACTTGGGTAAGGATAGTAAACGAATGGCTCGCGGTTGGTGTTTACAGTAAGTTAACAAAAACAAACCCTCTTTTACCAGTTTTTGATACAGTTTGTAATGTTTGAATTATAAATGTTGTTGCAGTTTGGATGTTGGTGGCTCCAATGGTACTGAAAAGTAGACAAACAACATGAGAGATCACTACAGAGAGATTTTTGTCACCTCTCGTTTCATCTCGGTATTGTGGATCTTGTCGAAAAATAGAATAGAAGATTAAGATTGGATAACTGTGTGAAATCATCATATATTTGTACTTAGATTGTTTAGGATCAAAGAAAGATGGAAACAAATATAGCTATAGATTAGTAATACTGTGAGTCTGTGACCCTAAAGGGTTCTCTAATCATGAAGCGTGTACACATTATTACACATACATCTCTCTATATACACCGTTTTAATGTTAAGTAATTGGATGCTAAAAGCTATAAATTTTAGTTTGCCATATCAAAGACTCCATATGGGAAAGAGGGTCTCTAATCTGAACAATCAAGAGAAGAGACTCTTCACTACAAGCTTATAGAAAAGACATAACAACTCAGTTTTTAAAGTGCGAGAAAGCAGTCTGCGAGAAAAAATGTAAGAATCGTAAAGGCTCCAGTTTGAGCAAGATTTTTAGTGAATTTCCAAGACGATTTTCGACAAGACATGGGGTTTCCGCGTTAGAACCTGAACTCGTACGTAAATCTCAGTGTATTCTTTACATGATGAAATCTCATTCATACATGATACACCAAGAAGTAATGTTGAAAGAGGAAGGGAAACTTCACAAACCCTTTAAAAGTCTCATAAAAGCAAATTCTAAATTGCCAATATTCAAATTTTGACAAGACTTTATGGTCAATGTGTAAACTGTTTTACAAAATAATACAACAGAAAGGAGGAGCCTGAAGATTTTTCTAGAGGACAATAGCCAAAAAAAAAAAAAAAAAACAGACTCCACCACCCTCAAGTTTATTACAATAAAACAACAAGAAGGAAATGAAATATAGAAACACCAAAGAATAAATATCAAACCTATTTCAAAACATTTTGATGCTTATAAAAAATAATCTAACACACTCACAAACCCAATTCTTCTTCAAGTTCATGGCCCGTACCTTCCCTCATTCACCCTATTTGACCCATGTGTGTGTTCGATTTGATACGTTATACTACACCTTAGAACACAAACGAGCTAATATACATAGCTCTCTCTCGAGCTAATATTCTCGCTCTTTCTTACCCAAACGGGTTTCCTCCTGATTGGAAAGGTGGGTTCAAAGGAACTGCAGCAGCAAACGAGCTTCCGAAATTTTGATATGTTTGTTGGGCATCATATGAAGCGTTCATGTCGCCAATTGGGTTTACATTGCTGCAAAAAAAGGACGGCTATAACTTTAGAAACGATTCAAGAAAGATAACTAAAGGTTGTAGAGTCATCGAGCTAACGTTTACAGCAAGAATTAAATCAAAAGGTCATACCTAGGTGGCATGCTTCCTGGTAATTGAGAAGACATGTACCCTGAAAATTGGGAGCAAATAGTTCACCAAACATTTCATAAGAGTAAACACATCATTTAATAGCAGAGAATAACAAAGTACAAATAATGGCATGCTTTACTTGGTGGCATTGCCGATGGATGGGCTGAGACTTGAGAAGGTATATTGAAATGATTGTGTACTCCTTGAGAAGGCATCATGCCTGAAGGAGGTAATGCACCTTGCAGAGGAGCCATGGAAGGGAACAGATTTTCCTGTAACGTTTTCACATCGCTTAACACGTAATACACCAATCGATCATTCTATAAATACTTTGGTAAGTCAAGTTGTCCAATTGCAGATGTTGACCACGTAATGTGAAAGGGTAACTCATAAGTTAAGTTTTCGAAAGTATTTCATTAAGAGCTAAAGCCAACATTTTCTCAGTTGCCAAGTAGCAATTTCGCTCAAAGCTAATTTCCAAAACATGCTTGCTTTCACACAAAAATTATATTCTGGCTATGTCAAATGAGCTAGAGGACATACCGTTTGCGTTTGTGATGGCGGCCCAGGGCTGAAGTCAAAAGGGTTCATTGACTTGGCTGGCTGCGGAACATTCTGGTATGGCTGTTGCAGGAAATAGATAATTATTAACAAGAATGTAACAGGCTGCGATGTCATTGATGCTTAAATTCATTAAGGATTCAGAAATTTATCAGAGAAACTGTACCACGGGGTTATTATACTGCTGCATGCCATAATGCATAGCATGAGGTGGACCAGCTTGCCACCCAGGCGCTGGTGCATGGTATGATGGGTAGGTTACAGCGAATAAATCCTGCAGAAAGGTTAGCATGTCATTCACACTCTGGCACACGGTAAGATATAGAAATGGGACAGACCAAATGGCTAAAATAAATTGAATACCGCAGGTAATTCTGATCTTCCAGAAGGTTTAACTTCAGAAGACTGCTGGCCACCAGAAGGGACTCCATGAAGAGGTTGTAATGGCGGTGCACTCATTGACCTATTTACATTAGATGCAAGTTCTGTGTTCCATGGCTGTAACAAAAATCCGAGAAGCATAACCATATAACACTTTCGACGCAGAATTTTATGCAATTCTTTGATATATCATGCAATGAAATGCCCACCTGTTCACTCGAATGCTCATTCGGAAATGGTGCAAAGATTTGTGACGTGGAATGACCAAGATGCACAGGTCCGTTAGATGGTATAGACGTCTGACCTGGCACAGAAGAATTCACTGCCAACTGAGAGAGAATCGAATCCAGTGTGTTTCCACTGGGTGGTGGTTGCGCTACATTTAAACTAGGGGCACTGGGTGCAGCATCGAAAGATGCCCAGTTATCATTAGATGAAGTTGCTGGCTGTGGAGCAGGCTGAGGTGTGGTTGATGGTGCTTGTATTGCAACAGATGGAGCAGGAGGTTCAAAATCAGTATCAAAATCAATCAGGCTTAAAGCAGTCTCTAGCTTCGCTTCTGGTGGCTTCTCATTTGTGGACATTAAACTACTCAATGATGTACCTGACTGAAATAACACAAACAGAAACCATCAACATTGTGGTATTACCTTGGATAGATGAGCTACAACAACTTTATATAGGTAAAGGGTTATGAATATAAGCAGAGCATCAATGGGTCTTATATACTTTACATCCTTCATGCACTCTGAAAAAGATGAAGCCAAACCTTTGCATGTGCTGAAGCTTCGGTATTTCGGCTGACAGGGGGTTTTGGAGGCTCTCCCACACGAAGAGGAATAACACTGTCACCCAAAATTTCCCTAACAGGTCGAGCTACAGGAGGGCTAGCTGAACCCAAGTCTTTTACTTGTTCAGGTGATTGGGAGCCCTCTTCTGATGTTTTTCTACCCCCAAATCTATCCTCTCTGCGCCAATCATTCAGGATCTCAGGACGAGCAGGGCTTTTTCTGTTATTACCAACATTCCTGCTACCTGGCTCAAACCCTGGACTTCTCCCACCAGGACTTGATCTGTCGCTGTAACGACGGTCATATACATCTTCATATGGTGGACTCCGAGACTCACTAGAACTACGTGTCTCACTTGGAGACTTGTCATCATTCTTCTCATTCGAATACCTTTTATTTACATACACATGTCTGATGAAGTCCCTTAACCGCTCAACATTACTAACAGATAAAAGAACAGAATCAGTCAATATAACACATCCATCTCCACAGCAAGAAAAGAGATTTATAATACCTTCCGTCAGGCACTGACTGCCTCTGTTGATCCAGTCCTTTAAAATAAATTTCCTTAGCATGCTGTTACAAAACAAAAGATACTAAATCACAAATGCCAAGAAATTAACTCATCAAAAGAAGAGAAATGAGAGAGATTTGGCTAGCTTTACCTGATTTCCACCTTCTTTTAGAGCAGTAACTTCTTGTGAGGTAAATTTCGCCATTGATATCGATTTAACACGGTGTGTAAACTCACGGCTGTTCAAAATACATATGCATCATATATCAACAACATTTCCAATGAACACTGTATACACAAGAACAGAATCTAGAAACTCACTGTATTCCACTGCAGTTGGTACAAACAAAAGTCCAGAAAGTAGTGCAAACATATTGTGGTCCCTAAGTAAATGATATGAAAGAAACACAAAAGTTAAGTTGTCTCAAAATTCTTGGTTTCATTGGAAATGATCAAAAGAAGAGCAAAAAACTTACAAGGCTGTTACAGTTTATACATCTCTTATTCTCAGGAAGTTTGAGAAGACTCCTTATAATCTTCTCGTTCTTCTCGTCTTCTTTAACTCGACTCGCCATTTTCGATTCCAAAACACTAAGCTAGAAACTACACAAACTTTAGAATCTTTGAAATTACTTTGCAATTAAGGAACTCTGAATCAGTTTTTTGAATCAATAATGGCGAAATCGAGTTCTGAACAAAACGAATTGCAGATTTATTCGCTTAAACACGAGATTTGACTCCAAATTCTACTTGAGTTGATAGAGTTAAGATCGATCACGACTAATAACATACAGATCCAGAAACTGTAGGAGATTTAGAAGAGAAACGGAGCAAAGAACACGAACCTGAGACGAATCTTCAACGATGATCCAATTTCTGGAGATTTTGATTCTTCTTTTTCTTCTTTGTTGAATCAGTGTTTCTAAGAGAGAGAGAGAGAGAGTCTTTGTACAGCTAAGAATGGTCTGGGGTTAAAAGAGTGGAGAGATTTGAGGAAGGAGATGGACGGAAATAATTGACGGCGTTAGATTGTGGAATCTATAGTTTGTGACCGGTGTTGACGACGTCGACGGCTGTGGTCTGTCTCGTTGACGGGAAATGAGAATAGTCGACTAAAGGTTATTTTAAATTTATAAATTTTAATTTATTAATAAACTAAAAAAATAATCATATTACATTTTTGGAATATATTTGACAAAAATTCTTGGTTTTCGAAAGTATTTATTCAAAATATCATTGGCGAGTCGGGCAAAATTGAAATCGGATAATAAAATTTTCGAAAATCTTTAATGGATATTCATACCAACAATTACCATTTATCTCACTTTCCATAACTAAATTCTTCTTAGTATGACTTTTATAGATAAGGAAATCAAATATATCTATTTAGTGCTAATATAACAAATTTGATCTAATTTCCTAAAACCTTTTCATCTAATTTAAACATAAATATATTATTCTCTTTTCACTTTTATTTGAATTTTCTATTTAAGTTATTTTGAATTATTATAAAATATATAGTTAATAATTTTTATTTTCTGCATATAATGTTATTTAAATTTTTTTAAAAAAACATATACTCCCTCCGTTTTCGAATAGTTGTCGTTTTAGAGCATTTTTTTTGTTTTAAATTAGTTGTCGTTTTAAGGTAATAATGTAACTTATGCCAATAACTACCCAAATTACCCTCATTTAATTAAACACAAATTATTTGTAAATAATTACTTGTCATTTTTATGAGGTTAATATAGTCATTGTATACCTTTTCTTAATTTGTCTAAATACAGTTAAAACGACAACTTTTAAAAAACAGAGGGAGTATTACTTAGTCGATGAAGACAAAAATATGTGTACTTTGTTCTACATCGCCTAAAATTATTGGGCAATAGTTTAGAATCATACTATAGAAAGGAGCAAAATGATTCCGAATAGGGATGGATAGGAAAGTTGATTTATCAGGTGTCCAAAATTAAACGTGTTATCCGGTTTACATTAGTTATGTATTTTAAAGAATTGAAACTTTTAAAAAGTTTCAAAATATTACAAATATTTAACCTTTTTAAAAATTCAAATATTATTACTATTTATAATTTATATGAAGTTTAAATATTATAATTATTTAACCTTTTTAAAAAGTTAAACTTTATAAAACACAATTAACACATATTCAGTTTACAATATTTTGTTATAAATCATCTTATTTGGGCTTTTAAAAAATATAGCCGTATTTAATTACCTATATAAACAATATTCTTCAGATTTGGCTTGTATAAGCTAATCTAATAAAGTTGTTGACAAAAAAAATAATTAAAAATTTTAACCATAAATGATTATGTGCGTAAATAACCAATTTTTTTTTTATTCTATTAACACTTTCAGTAAAAGTTTTTGTTCTCTAATTCAATGACATTTTGTATATCCTGTACTAACTTTTTTTTTTCTGTCAAATAAAAATAATTAACACACAATTACATGAACTCGAGACAAAATAGACCGAGAGACAAGACAAACTAATAGTCATGGGCGTTCGGATATCTGATCGGTTCTGTTTCGATTCCATTTAGTTTTGTTTTTTTTTCTAAAGTTTATGATCTATTTGAATATTTTGAAATTTCGGTTTGGTTTCGGATTTTTACTTTAGTTCCGGTTCGGTAGATTAGGTTCGATTAATTTGTCTAGACACTGACAAACTCACAAAAGTGACTTTATGGTATAAAGAAACCTCTGAATGAGAAAGAGTGTTTCACTTACTATCTCCATTTCCGTCACTGATGATTGTATGCTTCTTCACCACTATGATCATCAAAACTTTGTCTCATCGCATCTTTTTCCCCAAATTCTCATCAACCTTCTCTTCTCACCAAACCCTCAGATTCTCAATCTCCGATCGTCGGAAATTCTCAGCGATGGCCGGAGCTGGCGTCGATGATTTCGTTAAAGGAAATGTTTTTCCGAATGGTGTCGCTCTCATCACTCTCGATCGAACCAAAGCTCTCAACGCCATGAATCTTGGTAACCCTTTCGTTGTTTACTTCTTGGGTTTGATAAAGTTAGAACCTTTAAGTGTGAATTGAATTCAAAATCATGTTTTTATAGGAATTGGCTTTGAATAGTGGAATTTTTGTTGTTTGGTGAATTTGGGATGTAACTAATCATTGCTAAAAAGCTACATGATTTTCATCATGAATTCAATTCATTCACTCGATTTTGAATCATAATGTTGGAAATGGTTTTGAATAGATGATTGCTAGGCTCAGATATAATTATAAGAAGCTAGAAGGTTTTGGGTCATGAACTCGATCGATCGATTTAGTCGTGTACGCAGTTTCTCAGCTGGTGTTATACGTTATGATATTTACAGATATGGATATAAAGTATAAAAGCTTTCTTGACGAATGGGAATCTGATCCGAGAGTCAAATGTGTCATCGTTGAAGGTAGCACACCTCGGGCCTTTTGTGCAGGTAATTGCAAGTTTTGTTCTTTAATGTGGAAGCTAGTTTTTATAGACTGTTTCATATAAACCGAAAAAGGAGTTGGTGTGCAGGGATGGATATTAAAGGAGTTGCTGCAGAAATCCAAAAGGACAAAAACACACCTCTTGTGCAAAAGGTTTATAGATAAATCATGCTTTATCAACTTCAAGATGATTCAGCATTATTCCTTGCTCATATCTATCTTAAAAACATATAAGATTCTAGAATTATGCAATGTAGTCAATGTTTCTTGGATATGTTGTTGTTGGGATGGGTCAATTTTGCATTGTACTAGCCATTTTTAGGTGAGAAAACCAAAAGAAAGTTAATAACCATGGTCTTTGTATAACTGCTTGTGGTGATGTGAAGCAGATAATCACCAAAAACCAATTGTCAGATTTGATCCAGGTTTGTCAGTGTAATTTCTGTCCTTACTCATCGCCATATGGAGCCTATTTATGAAAATGCCATATGGCGATGACAGAATTCCTCTAGGTCATGCTTTAGAAAAACGATATACTCATTACTAATTGCAGCGTCTTATTACAGAACAAGCTCATTGTTGAAGAGCGCTTTGATTGTCTCTACTGAGCATAATGAATTACAAGTATTTGGCATTTTCAAACTGGTTAAGATTAAATGGTGTACTAATTTGATGAACATGCATGTGTGTGATCTCTTTCAATTTGGTCTTTCCAAGACCTCTCTTGAGGTTTGCTTTATACTTCCATACGTTTGGCCCTTCTTCGAGTATTTACCCCTACAATTCTTAGAATTTTTAAGAGTATAGCCTCCAAAATGTAGATGTTTTAACTTCGATATTTTGCTTCCTTAGGTATTTACAGCAGAATATACCCTGATATGTGCAATTGCTGGGTACAAAAAGCCATATATCTCATTGATGGATGGTATAACAATGGGATTTGGCCTAGGTCTTTCTGGACATGGTAGCTACCGTGTGATAACAGAGGTACAAAAAAAGAAAAAAGAAAAACCTTGTACTGCACTTATTATGTAGGTAATAATTGGAATTACTCTCTTGACTCTCTTTCACATTTTTGTTTTCCATTCCAGAGGACGGTTCTTGCCATGCCAGAAAATGGAATTGGCTTGTTCCCAGATGTCGGGTTTTCATATATAGCAGCTCATAGCCCTGGAGGAGGATCTGTTGGTATGTGTTCATATGCAAATCCTTTACACTGGCTAGAGTTTTAAGTGCTACTTTAATGAAAAGAATAAGGAAGTGCTCAACGCCAGTTAAAGGTTATTCCTAGTTAGTTGATATCTAAGAATGCAGAGAATCTGGTTAAAATCGATGATTGTTAGTTTAAATCCTTCTAAGTTTGCATAGAGTGAAATTTATGTAGATGGAAGCAAAGATTTATGTGGCATAAATGTCTGCAGGTGCTTATCTTGGTTTGACTGGAAAAAGGATCTCCACACCATCAGATGCACTGTTCGTTGGTCTTGGGACACATTATGTACCATCTGAAAAGCTAGCGTCATTAAAGGAAGCCATTTTGTCAGCTAACCTGTACGCTCTTCTCGACCTCCTTTCTTATCTTTCTGTCAAACGGAATATCTTTCTCTGTTTTGTAGAACTCATACATGTTGGCGATGCAGTTCTGGGGATCCTAATCAAGACATCCAAGCAACTTTATCAAAATACAGCGGAAATCCTGAATCTGAGGCCCATCTCAAATCGCTTTTGCCTCAAATAGAGTCAGCCTTTAGCTCAAATAAGTCTGTTAAGGAAACAATAGAAGAACTCAAAAAGTACCAGCAGAGCACTGAGCCTTCAGGTACTATTTTCATGGGGACTGTAATGCTCACAGAGCCTTACTATTTGTGTGTAAACCAATCAAAATTATATTTTAAGATTCTAATTGAAACTAAAATCGCTGCGTCAATGTTTGGATACAGTTGTGGAATGGGCTAATGAGGCACTCAAAGGTTTGGAAAAAGGAGCACCGTTCTCTCTTTATCTAACACAAAAGTACTTCTCCAATGTTGCATCTGCCAAGGGTAAAACCGAAAACGAATTAGCAACAGTGAGTTTTCTTCAACTCTTAGAATTCCATTATGGTTCGTCTTCTAAGGAGACTAAGACTAGTATTAACCTTACCTTACATACTAAATCTTCTCCGCGAAGCTTAATGGCGTGATGAAAACTGAATACCGCATCGCACTAAGATCTGCCTTACGTGGTGATTTTGCTGAAGGCGTTAGAGCAGTTTTGATTGACAAGGATCAGGTTTGTTCATTGCCACTCAAATTTCCACTGTTTGATCTATCATTCCTCTCGTGCTTAGTTTTTCCTCTATGAATCGACCAATGATGTTTTAGAGCCAAGGTTTTGTTTATACCAAACTCTCTAGCTCAACGCTAACGAAACTGATCTGCTCTGACAAAAATCTTGTTCAGAACCCAAAATGGAACCCGGCAAGCATTGAAGAGGTAGACGAAAACGAAGTAGAAGCTCTGTTTAAACCATTAAGTCAGGAAGTGGAAGAGTTAAAAGTCTAATTCTCATTTTGCTTTCTCGGTTTAATATCTGTCCACAACGTATTCTACGAATAAACAAATCTTTAGTCATGTATTGAAGAAGCTTGTTACTGTTAAAACTATTCAATAAATTTTTTCACCTAAATAAATTATGTTCAAACAGTTGTAGATTATCTAAAAAACATGAGCCATTGTTATTACAAAGCATGGAAACGTGAGAACATTGAAGACAAAAATAGCAAAAGATGAAATCAAGAAGTAGAAGCAGAGTTGTCGTAAGTAGATCCGACGTGATGGATAACGAATCCATAGATTTTGCGTTTGAGCCGCTCGATCTTGTCCATTGTTGTGATCTGGTTTTCTTGGTTGGACGAGACCCGGTCCAGCCACTCGTTAACTTGTTTCAGCTGAGACAAAACTGCAGCTATGGAACTACCGTCTAAAGATCGTTTTGCTACGTTTTTGTTGTCTAATGATTCTTCCACGAACCCAATGAACCACATTTGCATTTCGGATTGTAGTTTCACTGCGAATTTAGCTGTTTCCTTCAATCCATCAATGTCTGTCCACATCCCAACAATATTGTCTGAAACAACAACAAAGAAGAAACTTACAATTCTGCATTTCATTATGTATGTTGATTGAAATAGAAATATGTTTCAGTTCGTAGAACGAACCTGTCTTGCTAGAGGGTCTAGGAGAGAGACGAGTAGGCATAGATTTCTTCAAAGACGATGGTGATTCATGACTTTTCACTAGTGAGACCACGTCGAGGTTAGTAGCTAATGCAGCTTCAACCCAAAGAGAGATTGGGTTTTGGTGACCTGATGACGAGCTGAAACTGTTTTCTGAGGCTATCTTACTGTATTTCATGACATCTTCATAGATTGTTAAAAACTCGTTGATGATTCGCAACGGATTCCCCACCTTGGAAGCCGAAGAAAGTTCCGAGAATTTACTGAAACATTCAACCAGAGGAAAGCTTAACAAGACTGATTGCCAAAGTTTTAAATTTTGTTTGAGATGATATAAGAGTTTTACCTTAAACATCTTATGATGCACTCATTAGCATTGGCTTCCTCCAATGCTCGAGCTGCGGCTCTAGCAGCAAAGTCTCTTCTTTGCATAGCCTCCTGCATAATTCAAAATGATGATCACTCGAGTTTCTTTAGTCAATCAAATGTATCTTAAACACGAAACGCTGCTTCATACCTTTACAAGTTTTGCAAGTTCATCAGAGATGCTATCCAATGGAACACTACCATCAGTCCATTTCCTTTCATGATAAGTGATACCAAGTCCTTCAACAGCTGCGACTTCTTCTAGTAAACTACTCTCTGATGAACACGACTTCGCTTTATCTTCACACGCTGAAGAAGAAGAATCACTCTTTCTCCTATTCGCATCACTGAGCCGCCTCGTCATAGCAGCCTAAAACAACCATACAATATCAATTCCAATTCATCAAACAAGTCAAACCTCACAACAAACAACTCATACTTCATTCACCAAAACACTAATTTGTTCATCAAACGAAACAAAGTTTCGGAGTTGTTTAGTTACCTGAGTACGCAAAATTGCTTGATGATCAGGCTTATTCTTAACACTACTCTTCTCCTTATGCTCAACATGAACATTTCCATCAGGTTCATCCCAATTCTTTCGATTACCATTCTTAGCCGACGAACCGACTAAAGCTTCCGAAACTTTCGAGATTCCAGCCGCAATCGCCGCCATTTTCTTCTTCCCTGAAGAATCTACAACCATAGGAGACATCTTCACACCACTAGAAAGCCTTCTTCCCGGTGAAATCGACATCCTTCTTCCACTAGGAGAAGGATTCATCTTCCTTCCATTAGGTGATGGTTGTCTATACCTTGACGGCACAACAATCGACGGCTCTCTAGTAACTTTCCTATTCTCCTCACGCGCCGCCGCAAGACTCGGCACAACACATTTCGAAGGAACCGGAGACGCAGATCTCCTCCCTTTCCCAGAAACAACCGGCGACGGATCTCTCTCCACCGCCACCGCCACCGCACCGGAACTATTCTTCTTCCCCGATGAGACTGACCGTTTCGACGATGCTGGTGACGAGAATCTCTGTGGCGTCATCTGTTTAGGTTTCTGATTTCGAATTTGGTTACGATTCTCTTCGTTTTGGTTCACCGGAGCAAGCGCTTGTCTCAAATTAGGTTTCGTAGCATCACCATCGCCGTCGTCTTCAATTCTTCTATTGTTTAAGTAAACAGCGATAGGATCTAACGAGTACTCAGAGTCAGAAACTGGCTGAATAACGAAATCTCGTTTAGATCCATTCGATACTCTTGCAATCAACGGCTCCGGAGTTCCGACGAAGGCATGACGACCAGCGACGGGGCGAATTCCGGCGGCGCGTGGTACCGGAGTAGCGAATTCTAAGCGTTCTAGGTAAATGAATTGACCTAGCTGAAGACGGTTAGTGAGGATTAGATCTGTGTCGCGTTCGGAGAGAGAGACGTAAGTGGAGTTGAGAGAATCGGAGATTTGGACGTAGAAGCCTTGGTTTGGCCATAGATCGGAACCGGCGAGAGCTGGGACGATTCCGGTGACTTGTAAGATTGCGGATCTGTGGTCTCCGGTGGGACGTGTGCCGGAGTTCATACATTGAAGGAGTTTTAGGAGGATTCCGGGTGCGAGTGACGCCATTTTTGTGTGAGGTTTGTGAGTTTGAGAATACACAGAGAGAAGAAGAAGAAGAATATAGGAGAAGTTATTGAAGCTTTGTCCGTTACGAGATTCAAAATTTGAAATCAAATTTTTTGTATTTCTTTAATTGTTTAACGGTTAAATGTTGAAATGCGATTAAAGAGATTTTCAAATTATGCTCGTTCTTTATCTTATGTGCAATTATGTAGCAACTCATCAAATTAAAAAAAAAACAATTAAAAGAAAAATTAACTAAAGCCATAATCCTCAATCTAAAATTATGTCCCTCAATCTAAACTCGTTAGTTTTTCTTAGGGCTGTATGTAGCAATCAACCTGTAATATATGCGCTCAACTAGGATCACCTTGTACTTTCGACCTCTACCCAATTCATCCTGTATTTTTCTTCTTCCTCCTAATTCCACCCAATCTATAAAATTCTATCTAATTAACCAAATTCAATAAATCTCTGAAATTGCGATTTAAAATCAATAATACGCTTTCATTATCTCGCGATTTGGGTATATCAGAGTTTAAAATCTTGACTCGGATAAGCTTTCCAATGTGTTGTTGACATGTTGTTGAGAAATTTTTAAACTCGGGTGTATTCAAAATCACGAAATAGTGAATGCGAATTATTGATTTTAAATCGCAATTTCAGAGATTAATTGAATTTGGTTAATTAAATAGAATTTTATAGTTTAGGTGGAATTAGGAAGAAGAAGAAAAATACAGGGTGAATTGGGTAGAGGTCGAAAGTATAGGGTGATCCTAGTTGAGCGCATATATTACAGGTTGATTGCTACATGCAGCTCTTTTTCTTATCCAAAAACTACATGTAATCACGATTTTTAAACCATTCTAGTTTCCTCTATCATAAAACTTACGCCTCCGCAAAATACCCATAATCGAAGAACTTAACTGAAACTGACCCAAAAAACAAGAATCGGACCGAACCCAAAACCGACAAAATACTTGAATGGATCCATGACTAGTTTCGTTTCTCTAACCGAATTTTTTTTTTAACTAGTCACTGTACTCAATTGTTCAAATATTGGAGGATTTTATACATAAGTAAACAATAATAAAGAAAAAAGATATTTAAATTTTGCGCAAACGAGCTATCGCATGTTATGTTTCTTTCTATTGATCATTTTCTTATATAATATGAATGAAATAAAAAATACACCAACAATGTTGTTTTTTGTAAAAGGATAATTAACTTGTAAACTTGTCGAAATATCCTTTTCAACCAAGAAATCTCTTATGTGTTTTTATGTTTCTCCAATTCCTATATATAGTCTTTTTTTACTCATATCTTAAATATTCACAGATATTATATGTGTTAAATGATATGAAAGTAAATATAATAGGAATTTTTTTCTTTTACTTAGGAACACCATTTAAAAGTTAAATTCAATAAGATATATTTTCAAAAATAAGAATTAAATGAAAATTTTTAATATTTAATAATAATAAAATATTAAAGTATCAAAGTTGTTTATTTCTCTAGATTGTGATTAAATGTTTAGATACAAAAAAATAAAGATAATTCTGTTTTTCTTGACATCTGTATTAAGAAAAAAAAATGTGCTAATGTTTTAAGGAAAACATTTTCTATATAAGTTCTATATATTTGTTATTTGATTAACAAATTATGGTTGTATGTCTAAAATTTTCTACTCTTATTTTCTATATAAAGTGATAGGTTTCTTAAAAGGTTTTATGGTGAGAAGATTCTTAAACAACTAGTAAATATTTTCTTAGATTTAGATCGCGATGGGTTGTTGGTCAAAGCGGCCGAGACAAAATTTTCCTGAAAAGTAGAGTGATTTAATAATATTCTTTTTATATCTATGTAAACTAGATAAGTGTTATGTTTTTTCTATGTTCTTACGATGCTATAAACGCGTTTTCTCTTTTAAAAATTTGTCTAGCAGGTCAATTGAAGTCGAATTGAAGATTCGGATGCATTGTGAAAATTGCGCTAAAGATGTCAAGAAAGCTAGTTCCAAAGTTGAAGGTAAGCATTTATATTATAGTTCACATTTATGATACACTATACTGATCTCATTCATGGTTCAAATCTAACTTAAGGCTTCCGCTTTGAATTACGTTTTTGGGTCCTTATATTATTTTGTGTAGTTGATAATTTCAAATTATCTTTATGGTTTTATTATCTCAAGTTTTAAATTATAGTAAAAAAATCACGCCTTTGCTTAATTTAATTTTTCTTATGTTTTATATATTATTTTTTCAGAAAAACTTTTAGAACTTTTTATAGGTTTTGGTAGAATTGTAGGCAGAAATAAGATATTATGATGAAAAATGATCACATCAACATTTGTAATGTTTTGACCGATCATATATATATTATTGAGATCATATATATATTATTGAGGATAATATAGTAATTATGTTGTAATAATTATTTTAAATGATATTTGATTGTTAGGAGTTGAAGCATGTAGAATAGATATGGATAATCAAAAAGTTATGGTCACTGGTAATTTCAATTTAGAAAAGTTATTGAAAACTCTCAAGAAAAAAACCGGTAAAAAGGCAGAAATCTTAATGATGAATGAGAAAGCTGATATGGTTCAAAAAGAAAATGATGACCATGAAGTTGTTCAGAATGAAGATGATGACCATGATGTTGTTCAGAAAGAAAATGATAAACAAAAGACATTTACAGAGAAGAAAGAAGAAGGTGATATAGTCCAACAAAACGACGAGAATCCTGAAGTAGAAGAAAAAATTAATACATCTGAAACAAGGTGGCCCACTTCTAACTAGTTAACAATTTTCATTAAGTATGAAACTTTCAAAAAAAAAAAAACTAATACTTCTTAGAATTTTTTTTTTTATAAGTATACGCTTTTCGGATATTAATTACATGTGTTTTAACTCTTCATTTATTTTTTGTAGTACAACAAAAGTCGAAATAGTTGTAGAGAAGAATGAAGAAATTAAAATGGATAGAGGTGTTTATATGTACCCAAATAGTGATGATGAGAAAAAGATGGCCAAATATATGATGTTTAGTGATGAAAATCCTAATGCATGTTCGATTTCGTAACTGAACATCGTCAAAACTAGTATCCACCATGGAAAACTTGGCATGGTAATGGATTTTATCTATTTGGGGATATTTTGATATTTTCATCACCTTGATATTATAATATTATATAATTGAAAAGATAATAGTAGTTTGCTTTCAATTTATCCTTTTTAGTATAAGCTTTATCTTTTGAAAAGTATATAATTAATATCATTGTTTGTTAATTATTTTAATAGAAAAGAGAAAAAAATCAATTTACTACATATGTTTTAAAAACAATCTATTTTTTTCATGACATAATGTGTCATTTTATTATTATTTTTTCAACAGGTTATATAATATTGTGCCATTTCTTATAATACCACATATTTTCCATAAAAAACTTGAATATTCAAGAAAACCCTTGTTCTTTATTTTTTTAATATCAAATAACCTTATACTTTTATATCACCTTTGTAAAACTTATGGCAATATAACTATATAAAATCCGCGGTCAATCTCAAAAAAAAAAAAGTTATTTTTTACATTGATTTTTTTTTTATAAACCCTACATTGATTTTTTCGTCCACTTATATATGAATGGTATACCACTTGTCCACATTTTGAAAATATGATTCTGCTAATTTTTACCATTCAAAATATTCATCATGTTTTTAAAAAGAGATTCTACTATATACAACTAGTTTCAGTGCCGGCCCTAAGCTAAAACCCGTAAAGCATGGGCTTTAGGCGCCAAAATATCTTATATATTTGTGGCATCATTTTTTTGTAAAAGTTGTTTCCTGGTCTAGTGGTAAAAACCAGTTTCCTATACATAAGCATCATGAGTTTGGTACTTGGAACTTTTTTATTTTTCTGCTTTACGCAACAAATATGATTGGGCCGGACCTGACTAGTTTGATAAAAATATAACTAGAAGAAAAAGGTGTTTAACCTACTAAAATTAGAACTTCATCGTTTTTAAGTATTCTACAGAAACATAGTCTAGTTCAGTTTGTTCGTAAACAATTATTCAATTATTTTGTTATTCCGCTATTCCTCTGACATGCAAGTCATAACAATAATGTTCAAATTCAAGAGTAATTCTGGTTTGCACTAGAATTGTTGCCATTTTAAGCTCGCACATAAAATTAAATTTTTTCCAAAATTACGACTATATGGTAAGCTATAATGGATTGTGTATTGGTCAATTTGACTCACAGAAATAGGTGGGTAAATTCTGACACTTGGTGTATTCAGTGTGGAGTAGGTGAACAGACAATCAATAGCGTTTTACAAACATGAGCATATCTAAGATACCATCCATTAGTAATTTCCAATATCATTGTTTTCTAGAATTTGGACTACTTTTTTGGTGAATCCCTATAATTCCTCGAGATGATAGTTTTTTTTATTGATTATTTGGTATATTCTAAACGTTAAAATTGATAATACTTTTAGAAACCTAGATAGCCAACAAAAGGCTCTAAAATTAGTGGAGAGTTCTGCTTCAATGTGGAAAACGCTACAACCTAGATAGCCATCGTATTTGGTTACGATTCTCTTCGTTTTGATTCACCGGAGCAAGCGCTTGTCTCAAACTAGGTTTCGTAACATCTCCGTCGCCGTCATCTTCAATTCTTCTATTGTTCAAGTAAACAGCGATAGGATCTAACGAGTACTCAGAGTCAGAAACTGGTTGAATAACGAAATCACTTTTAGATCCAGGCGATACTCTTGCAATCAACGGCTCCGGAGTTCCAACGAATGCATGACGACCAGCGACGGGACGAATTCCGGCGGCGCGTGGGACTGGAGTAGCGAATTCTAAGCGTTCTAGGTAAATGAATTGACCTAGTTGAAGATGGTTAGTGAGGATTAGATCTGTGTCGCGTTCGGAGAGAGAGACGTAAGTGGAGTTGAGAGAATCGGAGATTTGAACGTAGAAGCCTTGGTTTGGCCATAGATCGGAGCCGGCGAGAGCTGGGACGATTCCGGTGACTTGTAAGATTGCAGATCTGTGGTCTCCGGTGGGACGTGTGCCTGAGTTCATACATTGAAGGAGTTTTAGGAGGATTCCGGGGGCCAGTGACGCCATTTTTGTGTGAGGTTTGTGAGTTTGAAGATACACAAAGAGAAGAAGAAGAAGAAGAAGAAGAATATAGGAGAAGTTATTGAAGCTTTGGCCGTTACGAGATTCAAAATTTGAAATCAAACTTTTTGTATTTCTTTAATTGTTCATCTGGATTTAGTATATAACGGTAACGGTGAAATGTTGAAATGCGATTAAAGAGATTTTCAAATTATGCTTATCTTATGTGCAATTATGTAGCAAGTCATCAAATTAAAAAAAAAAAAATTAAAAGAAAAATTTAACTAAAGCCACAAATTCCTCAATCTAAAATCCTTACTTTTTCAAATCCAAAACTACCATGTAATCATGATTTTTAAAACCGATCTAGTTTCCTTAATCATAAACTTAGGCCTCGGCAAAATACCCAATATCAAATAGAAAGAACCGAACCGAACCAAAAACCGACAAGATACTCGAACGGATCCATGACTAGTTTTGTGTCTCTAACAAAAAAATGTTTATCTTGTCATTGTACTCAATATAGTAAAACCTATATAAATTAATACCCGATAAAATAATAAACACGATAAAATAATAAATTTTGCTGGTCCCGAATCGGGTCAATGTAAAAATTAACCAAATTCGATAGGATAATAAGATAATAATTTCTATGAAATCCCTACGTAAGAATTTGCATATATATATATATATATATGCAAAAAAATTAGTGTTTTCATAAGAATAACCAAAATTTTCTAAGTTTTCAAAATTTGACTATGCATAATTTTTGTTTTAATAGTCGTATAGATTTTTCAAGTGCAACAATAGATGTCATTATTTATAAATTTGAATTTATGTATATTTGAATTATATAATCGTTGTTGTTCATTGTAAAAAAAAAACATTGTTTCCCTTCGAAATATAAAATGTTTAAGTCTAAAACTATAAAATTTATAACCTCCAAAATATTAATTTTATTTAGATCCAATTTTTTAACTCATAATTTTAACAATGTTTTAACAATTAAAAATAAATTTCTATAAATTAATAAATATTATTTTACACTATATATTAATATTTATTTATAGATAAATTGATATCACTATAAATTAATAAAATATCATGGTCCCAACATTATTAATTTATAGAGGTGTTACTATACTTCAGATATTGGAGGATTTTCTACATAAGTAAACTATAATAGAGAAAAAAGCGAACTTTAAATTTTGAGTTTTTTTCCAATTCCTATATATAGTCCCTTTTTTTTACACATATCTTATATTTTCACAGATATTATATATGTTAAATGATATGAAAGTAAATAAAAGTAGGAAATGTTTTCTCTTACTTAAGAACACCATTTAAAAGTTAAATTCAATAAGATATATTTTTGAAAAGAAAAACTAAATGAAAAATTTTAGATTTAATAATAATAAAATAATAAAGTATAAAAGTTTTTTATTTCTCTAGATTTTGATTAAATGTTTAGATACAAAAAAATAAAAAAAAATTATGTTTTTCTTGACATCTGTATTAAGAAATTTGTTTTTGTGCTAATAATTTAAAGAAAATATTTTCTATATAAGTTCTATATATTTGTTATTTGATTAACAAATTATGGTTGTATGTCTAAAATTTTCTACTCTTATTTTCTATTTAAAGTGATAGGTTTCTTAAAAGGTTTTATGGTGAGAAGATTCTTAAACAACTAGTAAATATTTTTTAGAATTAGATTGCGATGGGTTGTTGGTCAAAGCGGCCACGACGAAATTTTCCTGAAAAGTAGAGTGATTTAATAATATTCTTTTTTATATCTATGTAAACTAAATAAGTGTTATGTCTTTTCTGTTCTTACGATTGCTATATACGCGTTTTCTCTTTTGAAATTTTGTCTAGCAGGTCAATTGAAGTTGAATTGAAGATTTGGATGCATTGTGAAAATTGAGTTAAAGATGTCAAAAAAACTATTTCCAAAGTTGAAGGCAAGCATATATATTCCAGTCCACATTTATGATACACTATATTGATCTCATTCACAGTTCAAATCTAACTAAAGGCTTCTACTTTGAATTATATTTTTTAGATCCTTAGTATTTTATATTATTTCGTGTAGTTGATAATTTCAAATTATCTTTATGGTTTTAATATTTTAAGTTTTAAATTATAGTAAAAAATCAGACCTTTGCTTAATTTTTTTTTTATGTTTTATATATTATTTGTTTTTAAAACTTTTAGAATTTTTTTATAGGTTTAGAGGAATTGTAGGCAGAAATAAGATATTATGATGAAAAATGATCACATCGAACATTTGTAATGTTTGGACCGATCATATATATTATTGAGGATAATATAGTAATTATGTTGTAATAATTATTTGAAATGATATTTGATTGTTAGGAGCTGAAGCATGTAGAATAGATATGGATAATCAAAAAGTTATGGTCACTGGTCATTTCAATTTGGAAAAGTTATTGAAAACTCTTAAGAAAAAAACCGGCAAAAAGGCAGAAATCTTGATGATGAATGAGAAAGCTGATATGGTTGAGAAAGAAAATGATGACCATGAAGTTGTTCAGAATGAAGATGATGAACATGATGTTGTTCAGAAAGAAAATGATGAAGAAAAGAAATTTACAGAGAAGAAAGAAGAAGGTGATATAGTCCAAGAAAACGACAAGAATCCTGAAGTAGAAGAAAAAATTGATACATCTGAAACAAGGTGGATCACTTCTAACTAGTTAACAATTTTCATTAAGTATGAAAGTTTTTTAAAAAAAAACTTCTTAGTATACGTTTTTCGGATGTTACATGTGTTTTAACTCTTCATTTAATTTTTTGTAGTACAACAAAAGTCGAAATTCATATCGTATTTCTATGTGAGAAGTACGAGGAAGACATCGGAAAAGTTATTTCTAAATTCGAAGGTATATAATAAATAATATTATATATATATATATATATATATTTGAAAATGTGTTCTTTAATCATTTCTTTTGAATGATGTATGAATAGGGGTCAAAACATGTGTGGTCGACGTAGAAAACCAAAAAATTGTAATAACTGGCGACTTTGATGAGGAGAAATTATTGGAAAAACTTAAGAAAAAGATGCGTAAAAGGATAATCAAAGTGGAAAAGAATAGAAATGACGAAGAAGCCAAAATAGTTATAGAGAATGATGAAGAAATTGAAATGGATAGAGGTGTTTATATGTACCCAAATAGTGATGATGAGAAAGAGATGGCCAAATATATGATGTTTAGTGATGAAAATCCTAATGCATGTTCGATTTCGTAACTAAACAAAGTCGAAACTAGTATCCACCATGGAAAACTTGGCATGGTAATGGACTTTATCGATATGGGGATATTTTGATTTTTTCATCACCTTGATATTATAATATTAGATAATTGTATAAAATAATAGTAGTTTGCTTTCAATTTTCCTTTTTATTGATATGGGTCAAATTTACCTAAAGACCACTCTTTCTCAAATAAGAGATCATTGTAGCACTTAAGGGTCGAATTCCACAAACTTCTTTTGTTCACACAATAAGCTAACAATTTCGAAATTAAGCTAAATAAAATATGAGAAAATTAAATAAAACAAAGCAATTAAATTGATGAAAGTTCAGACAGATTAAAGCGTCAGGTTTAGGGAAATTTTCAGGAAATAAACAAATAATAGATCTAGCAATTGATTATGATTATTATCGAATCGTTTTAGAACTCAAATCACTAAGCTATAGCCAACCAACTCTTGCCTGAATTGACTAACTAAACCTAATAGCAGGAAGTTCCAACTCTCGTTTGTAAATTTCTAAAATTAGACTAGCATTAAAATCCGGTTTGATATGTTCACAGAGATTTTTAGACCAACTCTCGTCTAAATCTAGTAATTTCTGCCTACCTAAGATAGTTCCAGTCACATGCGCACTCTCGTGTCTAACCTATTATCCTAAGATCAAGTTCTAGTCAGCTACTCTAGAACTAGCATTAAGAACAACCAAAGGTGAAGAACTCTAAAGATTAATCCTAACAGGTTATCGATCTACTAATTCATCTAAGTCCCTAATGAGAATCTCTAAACCTAACAGGAAAATTATTCATACATGATTAATGAAATAGAAAACATGTTTGAATAATATTGCATAAAGAAATCAAAAAGAGACTAGAGTTTAGAATAAATCTTCTCTCTACAAGGATTTGAAATCTCTGAAAGTAGCCCTCTCTAATTATCTTCCAAAGGGTTTCAAGCTCAAAAAATTACAAAGCAGAAAAGAAGATTGCAAATTTGAAAGATAAATAAATAGAAAAACTATTTATATTGTCTTAAAAACGTGCAGGGATTAAAGTTGCAAATAGAAAAGTCTTCTAGGTTGATTATGTGAGCTTTAAAATTCTTAAACTGTCGAGATTTTTGTTGGGCCGCGTACAGTGTCGATAGACATCAGGGGGGTGTCGGTCGACACTCCTGCCTTGGTCTGACACCGAATTCGTCTGTTCAGCTTTTATTCCCTCGAACTAGCTCCAAAATGCTTTCTTATTTCCAAATGTGTCCCGAAAGTGTAAAAATCTGAAAAAGACTAGAAAAGACTCTAAAACTGACACATATATCGTGGCTAAAAACAGTAAAATACATAATATATCATTTAGTATAAGCTTTATCTTTGAAAAGTATAAAATTAATATCATCGTTTGTTAATTATTTTAATGTAAAGAGGAAAAAAAATCAATTTACTACATATGTGAAAGACATTTTTTTTTTTTACGGTAATGTTTCATTTTATTATTATTTTTTTCAACAGCTTATGTAATATTGTGTCATTTCTTATAATAACAAATATTTTCCATAAAAAACTTGAATAATATTATTCAAGGCAACCCTTGTTTTTTCATTTTTTTAATATCAAATAACCTTATATTTTTATATCATATCGGTAAAATTTATGGCAATATAACTATATAAGAGATTCGTCAATATCAAAAAAAAAAAAAATTATGTTCTACATCGATTTTTTTTTGTAAACCCTACATTGATTTTTTCGTCCACTTATATATGAATGATATACCACTTGTTCACATTTTGAAAATATGATTATGCTAATTCTTACCATTCAAAATATTCATCATGTTTTTGAAAAGAGATTCC